TGGCTTGCACAAAAAGGGGCTGGAAAGAGGAACGCATACAGAGGAAAGGGGTGGGGAGAGGAGCACCTACACGCGAATTTGGCTTTTGTCAGTAGCGTGCTTTGTTGCGTCGGCAATCCAGGAGACGGCTACGAGGACGAGTGAACTCAGGCAGCAGAGTCCTGGGAAATGCAAAGAAGAAAAAGAAACAGCGGAGACGGAAAGCCAAAATGATGGACAGCAGCAGAGAAGGAACGGAAGGGATACAGGCATTGATCGAATAAAATAAACTCTCTTCCCCCCCCCCCACCCAGACCCCTTCCTCTTTATTCTCCCCACGCCAGAACGGAAGTAGGATTGAGGGAGGGAGGAGGGTGGTGGCGGTGCTTAGTTTCGGCTTCACAAAGAGCAGCCGAGCAGGCGGAAAATACTGCGAATGAAAGTTTCTCTGCAGTCACAGGCAGCGAGCGGCGTGCAATACACACAAAATAAAAAAGCCAAGTTGAGATGTTTGGATCAGGCGGTGCCGAAATCCGAATTTTTTCCTACAGGTGGTTGTGTTCTTCGCGGTTTCTCGTAGAGGGCGTGGGAACCGGAAGCAGTTACATTAAAATACCGACTGGGTTAGAAGATAAGGTATGCACATTGCCGCAGTATATAGTCACTAAAACATCGCCAAAGGTCCACCATTCGAGTGTAAATTAAAGTGCCCTTCTGTTGGCGCATGGGAAATGGAGGAGCCAAACGAGATTTTTAGGGCCGTTGAATGCCCATCCATAAAGCATCGTAACCTAGGGGTTTACAAATAAGCGAAGTTCTTTGGGAAAAGAATAACGTTCATTGTGTAGGTTTTTGAGACATGTACCAAAACTTTTCACTAAAAGCATGCCTAACGCAAAAACCTATCGTTGGATAGAGTGTAAACCAATCAGCTTTACCCGCATTTAATAAGTCGATCCATAGTGGTTGTGTATGCCTCCATCTGATATTGAGAAATTTGTAATTTACATCTAAATCGATATGCTCATTAATGCATCACTTCTCCGAGTGCATTGTCTCCAGACATTCGCGACCCTTCCTAGTTGAACAGGCGCCAACGATTTGGGTTTTCTCCCGCGCAACTGTGTGCCGTGTCTACTGTCTGCGGGGCAGCCAGTCTCTCATCTCCTTTCCACTAAATGATGTTTATGTATGTGGGTGGATAGACATTTCCCAGTTTGGCTACAAGAGACTGCATCAAAACTGGGTACACGATATTTTGTAGATGATTTCCTTTCTGGTGAAATAGCCAACCCTGTCCTTATGTTATACAAGTTGGGTACAATTTGAAATTGGGAGTAACCATCCCATGTCTTACAAACGCAACTCTTTATTAACAACTTGGTAAATCAACCAAAAACTCATTGGTCGG